TTTTTTTTTTTTTGTACCACAGATTGAACTCATAACCTTGTGCTTGCCAGGCAGGCATTTATGCTGCTGAGCTATCTCCCGGCTCTTCTGAAAATTATTTATAAATATTATTTGCCTTTGTAAAGTGCATGAGGAAAAGGTAAAAAACAAAACAAAACAAAAAACCCCAAGGATCATAGCTGAAAATAGTAATAGGGTGAGTGAGCTGATGAAAATGAAATGGTACAAGTAAAATCTTTATTCTTCTACAGCAATTTTCTTCTAAGCCCCAAGACTGAGGAATAAATTAGGAAGTGTAGGATCAGAAATTAAAAGCTGAGAGGAGGACATGTCCCCTACTTGGTTTTTGTTTTTTAAATGTATTTGGTTGTTACAGGGTCTCACTACACAGCTCAGACTCACAGACTCCTGTTTTCAGTCTTCCTGGTGCTGGGATTACAGGCGTGTGCCACCACGCCTGGACTCTGGCCCACTCAGTCTGTCATGGCATGTGGTGTCAGGGATTCCTGCGCTTGTCTAAGCTTGCCTAAGCAGGCACTTTAGTCTGGCTGAGCTATCTCGCCAGCACCCCCCCCCCCATTTGTTTTGAGACAGAGTTTCACTATGTAGTGCAGGCTAGCCTTGAACTCACTGGCCTCTAACTCACTGTGGTACTCCTGGCTCAAGCTCCCAACTGCTGCAATTACTGGCATGCACCACCATGAGCTATCATGCCTGGCCCTACATGTTATAGAAATGGAATTTAAGGCCCAGAGAAGTAAAAAAGTTTTCTAAGGCCAGTCATCTAGTGAAAGGCATGATCAGAAGAACTAAATCCCAAGCTCCAGATTCTTTTTATTATGCCATGTATGTATGGTAGTCTTTTAAGATAAAAGCATCTTGCCATAGGGGTCTTTTCAAAGTCATCACATCAAAAACAGAAAAATTGTGGTGCTCTCTAGTGGCTTTTAGCTTTATAGCAAAATTCTCAAGATCCACAAGACTGGTTTAATGTGGGTTGATTGGCTTTATAATGCTATGGTTATTTGCCTCTGGGAAACATGCTACTATTTATAAGTTTAAGTGGGCACACTATGTGAAGATTTCAAGGTAAGAGTTATAGCTATAGAAATTAGTGGCAGCTAGGTGAGATGGCACATGCCTATAATCCTAACACACTGGGAGTCTGAGGCAGCTGGATCAAAAGTTCATGCCTGCCAGACGTGGTGGTACACTCCTATAATCTCAGCAGTTGGGAAGCTGAGATGGGGAGATCACTGCCAGTTGGAGGCCAGTCGGAGCTACATTCAGTTCAAGACCAGCCTACACTACAAAGCAAGATCCTGCCTTAAAAAAAAAAATCATGCCCAACGTGGGCAATTTAGCAATGTAGTGAGACACTGCCTCAAAATAAAACACAAAATTAAAACGGGCTGAGACTGTAGCTCAGTGTGAAGACCCTTAATTCAACCCAATACAAAACAATAACCAAGCAACCAAAAAAGCTAAAAAACCAATTTAGTGACATCTTTTATTAGGATAAAAGATGCAAATGCATAATTTGAATATAAAAGTATAGATACTTTTTTTTTTGGTGGTACTAGGGGTGGAACTCAGGATCTTGTGCTTGCCAACCAAGTGCTTAGTCCACTGAGCTATCTCTTCAGCCCCAGTATAGGTACTCCTTAAGGTGACTGAGTTGCTCAATTGCTTTACCTGGGAAGGAG